TTCTTGCGGGTCTTGCATTTTTGGGCCTTATCAGCTTTGATTTAAACCCTGTATTTATTTGTTTTTGTTGGACTTTGTATTCATAATGCTGTTACATCGGCATATGCCCTTTTTTGTGGTGATGCCTGTCGACTATTGCGTCTAACTACTTTGATCATTTCATATCATTCTGAACATGTCATATTTACTTTGAAACTTTTAATATGTCATGGACTTTTACATTTCCCTTATCGTCTTAAAATAATTTTATCAACTATCAGCTTTTTTTATATATATCCGCTCTATTGCTTTACGACTGCCAAACTTTACTATTGACTTTATTAGTTATCAGCAACTTCACCATAGCTGAAGAAAACTTATTTAAAAACAATTCGAACACAAATTTATACACAGATGCTATATCCGTTTCACCCCCACAGTGTATATGGTTAAGAAATAACTATATACACTTTTTGCTGGTTCATTGCATAGCCCTATTCACTTACTGCGCTATAACTGTAGCCAGTTAAGTATCCTCTCGGCGATCGTATTCAAAGCTATGCTTCAATTCAGCATATACTTGAACCGATTTAACCGGTATTATACAGTGAACCAGCAACCTCGCGAACCAATGTTTATAACTGATCAGGTAATAAACTCATTGGATTCACGGAAGCAGTTTTTAGCTGTCCATCCTACATAACAATATTTCGTTAAGTAGAGGATGCCTATATCAAGAAAATATTTCCTCTGAAACGCTTGTATTTATTGTTGACATTTTTCTTGAACACTTAACATTGCTTACATTTCCAAGTACAACGTACTACTCAAAATATTTCTTTAATACAGCTGTGTTCCAAACATTTTTTAACGGATTTCCATCCATTGCTTCTAAGTAATATGAACCTTGCATTACCATTTCCCTAATACGATAAGGACCTTCCCAATTTGTCGTTAACTTTCCATCTTTATTCACTTTTCTAGTTGCAGCTGTTCTTCGCAGTACTAGATCTCCTACAGCAAGAGGTCGATGATTGACACGCTTGTTGTAAGCCTTTGTCATTCTGTTCTTATAGGCAGCTGACCTAATTGCTACCTTTTCACGTAATTCCGGTAGGAAATCTAGTTGCTGCCGTAATAAAAGATCATTTTTCTCTTGGCAATAGTGTTGAATTCTAAATGTCGGCAACCCTACCTCTGCCGGCACTATTGCCTCTGTCCCAAAAACTAATGTAAAAGGTGATTCACCTGTTGCTTCCTTGGCCGTTTTTCTGTTAGCCCACAATATTTCTGGGACTAAGTCAGCCCATAACCCCTTTGCATCTCCTATCTTCTTCTTAATTGCCGTTACTATCTGTTTGTTAGCTGCTTCCGCCTGTCCATTTGATTGTGGGTGACATACCGCCGCATAAGCAAACTTGACTTTATACATTGATAAGAGCTCTTTTACCGGCTTACAATCAAATTGAGACCCATGGTCAAAAACCATAGCCATCGGCAATACGAATCTTGTGAAAATGCTTTTCCAGATAAACTTTTTTACCTCTGCTGCTGTTATATTTGCAACCAGCTCAGCTTCAATCCATTTTGTTAAATAACCAACAGCTAGTAATAAAAAAATTTTGCTGCCTGTTGCTGATAGAAACGGCCCTACTATATCCATTCCCCATTGTGCAAAAGGAATTGGATTTAATATCGGTGTTAAATCATTTGGGGGAAGGTTGATAACTGGTGCAAACTTTTGGCACTTCTCACATGCTTTTACATATTAAACCGCGTCTTCATTCATGGTCGGCCAGTAGTAGCCTCTCCTCATTGCTTCTCTTGATATAACTCTCGGCCCGAGGTGATTGCCACATGTACCTTCATGTATTTCTTCTATCCACTTTTTTGACTCAAGATCACCTATGCACCTCATCAGCGGCAATGAGAAGCTTCTTTTATACAACTGCCCTTGATGCATAACGAACCATACACTATCCTTCCGCAATTTTCGTGATTTCCCTTTATCTGCCAGTAACACCCCATGGATGAGATACGCTAGTATGTCGTCATACCATTGGGTTGTCCTTTCAACAGAGAGTATTTGTTCTGGTGCTTCATTTATGCTGTTCTCCTCTAAAATTTCCACCATCACAGTTCTTTCTAAGCTATTCAAGCTCGAACTTGCCAGCCTTGCCAAAGCATCTGCCTGCACATTTTGAGTTTTCGGCACCAGCTTTACTTCAAAATGTTGCAGCTGTGCCAATAACTGCTTTACCTTTTCTAGGTATTTAATCATTGCTGGATCTCGTGTTTCATACTCTCCGTTTTATTGACTCGAAACAAGTTGGGAATTGGTTATAAGCGTTAGACGCTTTGCATCAGCCGCAAGAGATAACTGGATTCCTGCTACCGCTGCCTCATATTCAGCTTCATTGTTCGTTGCTCTGAATTTCAATTTTATTGCATATTCAAATGCCTGCCTATCTGGTGAGGTTATGACTATGCCAGCCCCTGATCCCATTGTTGTTGCAGATCCATCCACAGATACCTATGTCATTATATGTTGGCCATAATAAATATGTCATAAAATAGATATGCATTTGATTATTCTTTACATAAAAGGAAGTGAAAACACCAAAAACTTTTTTAAACTTTGATCATTAAATTACAAACTATTGAAACCTGCCAAGTGCCTATATCTTCTTCTTCATCTGTATATGAAGCTTCTACTATGAAATCAGATAAGGCCTGTGCTTTTATCGAAGCTCTCGGCTTGTAATGTATCTCATACTCCAATAATTCCACAGCCCATTTTAGCAATCTTCCTGATGTGTCCATCTTGTGTAATGATTTTTCCAATGGATAATTCGTTAGTACATCTATCGGATGCACATCAAAATAAGGCCTTAATTTCCTTACCGCAACCACCACTGTCATAGCCATTTTCTCAATTATTGGATACCGGCGCTCTGCCGCATTCAGTACACTAACAAAATATATCGGCATTTGCTTCTTTTTCCTTTCTACCACCAGCACTGCACCTATTGTTTTTGGAGACGTTGAGATGTACAACTGCAACTGTTCTCCCCTTTCTTGCCTTGCAACCGTCGGTAGAGATTTCAAGTGGTTTCGTACCACCTCCTGCGCGTCCCGCTGTTCTTTTCCCCATTCAAACACCTTGTTCTTCCGTAGAACCATAAAAAAGGGAAGTGCCTTATCAGCTGATTTGCTAATAAAACGAGTTAACCCTGCCATCCGGCCAGTCAATCTCTGTATATCTCGGATTGTCTTGCGCTTCTTCATCTCAAGCACCGAATTCACCTTATCTGGATTTGCATCTATTCCCCGTTCACTAACCATGAAGCCTAAAAACTTCCCTGATCGGACTCCGAATACACACTTTTCGGGGTTCATTTTCATCTGGTACTTTCGTAAAGTTTCAAATGTCTCCCTCAAGTCCGCTATGTGATCCTGTTTTTTCTTGCTTTTAACAATTGTGTCATCTACATACACCTCTACATTCCGGCCCTTTTGTCTCTCGAAAACTTTGTCAACCAACTTCTGGTATGTTACCCCAGCATTCTTTAACCCAAACGGCATGGCTTTATTGCAAAATACACCAGCATCCGTTCCGTTTTCGGTCTATCGGCTTTATGAAGGCTGGCCTGATGATACCCTAAAAACGCATCTAAGAAGCTAAGCATTTCATGACCGGCAGTATAATCCACCAGTCTGTCTATCCGGGGTAACGGGTAACAATCCTTATGACATGCCCTATTCAAATCGGTAAAGTCGACATATATTCGCCATTTTCCTGTCGGATTTCTTACCATAACAACATTTGCCAACCACTCCGGATATGTGCACGGCTCGATAAAACCCGCCGCTAAGAGTTTGTTAACCTCAGCCTGAATAGCTTCTATCTTCTCAGTAGAGAAGTTCCGTTTTTTCTGTCTAATCAGCCTGAATCCCCTATTGACATTCAATTTATGTTCCATCACCCCCGGGTGTATTCCTGGGAATTCACTTGCTCAGTAAGCAAAGACATCCGCATTTTCACGCAGCAGGCTTATCAGATTACACCTCATGTCAACATCCATGTCGGCTCCAAACCTAACCGTTCTGCTGGAATCACCCACCTGCAACTCAATCTGCACTGTTTTCCCTCCTAGTAACGGTCTCGGAGCTGTTTCCGGCCTTGTGTCAAAGTTACCCATGGATAAATCACGTATTGTAGGCTCCAGTTCTTTTTTAGGATTACTCGATACTGACCCATCTCCGACTGGATTCTTCAAAGCCGTTATATAACAAGACTTTGACATAACCTGCCCTCCATGAACCTTTTCCACAGCTCCCAAATTTGACACAAACGTTATTGTCAAATGGTATGTTGATACAACAGCTTGTACATCATGAATTATCAGCCTTCCGATAATAGCATTATAGGCCGATGGAACGTTGACCACCAAAAACTCTGCCATCACATCTCTTGTTGTAGGTCCATCACCCAGCCTTACCGGCAAGACTATGCTCCCTTCTGGTCGTACTGAAGATCCATTAAACCCAATAACTGGGTAGGATACCGGCGTCAGGTATTGCCTCCCTATCATCATCTCATTAAAGGCTTTCATAAAAAGGACATTAGCTGAACTTCCTCCATCTACCAGAACTCTTTTTATGTCAGCCCCATTCATCTTTGTTATCAGAACCAGCGGGTCATCATGCGGAAAGACTATCCCCGTTGTATCCTCTTCAGTGAACACAACATCTGGGATTGTAGTTGGTCTTGGGCGACAATCTGTATCCAGGGCATTAATTATATGGCGATGCTCTGATAAATGCTTCTTTGCTCCACTGATTGTCCCTCCATGCACCGGCCCTCCGGTTATCACATCAACCCCTCTCCTTGTTGATAACGGCGGCATTCCTCCAGCCCCCTACCGGATCACACTACCCTGCGGCCTTTCTGGCCTTACATCAAGCTGCTGCCTTTCAAATTGCTGGGATGAGGGCTGGCTTCCACTCTGATTTAGCCGCTACTGAGATAAATGACCCTTTCTTATCAGCTCTTCTATGTTATCCTTTAGCTGTGTACATTCCTCTGTATAGTGACCCACATCTCTATGGAACATGCAATACTTTTTAGCATCCCTTAGCCTGGCTTTCATAGGAATCGGTCTTGTCCATTCTTCTCTGTTATGATTCACCGAGAAGATCGCCGCCGCTCTAGGACTATTCAGCGGTGTATATGAATTGTACCGCATCGGCGGTTTTGCAGCCCTAACCTCCTGCCGACTTCCCCCTCCTCTGTTTTGGGTCGAGGTTCTCGGCCTTCCACTTCCTGAAGCTGCACTTTCAAGTTGGAACTGACCCTTACCAGCGGTCACACTCTTGTTTCTTGTCTTCATTAACTCCTTGCTCTTGATGTAATCATGAGCTTTGTTGAAGGCTGCTGCCAGCATTGAGAAGTTCTTTCGCGTCAGATACCGCTTGAACTCATAATCATTCAGGCCATTCATAAGGGCCATTACTGCTATCTCTTGTTGCAACTTTGGGATCGTGTTTGCCTTGTTATTGAACCGCCTGATATAGTCCCTCAAAGACTCATCTGCCCTTTGTTCGACTGCCATCAACTCTCCTGATGTTCTCTGCCGCACACTGTTGCTAAAATACTGCCCGATGAACATCTCAGTCAACCTTTCAAAACTATCTACCACCCCATTCTCCATATTATTAAACCAATCAGCTGCAGCCCCAATCAATGTAGTCGAAAAGACCTTACACCATACAGCATCTGAATTTGTGTAAAGCATCATATGCCCCTCGTATGACGTTATAAACCTTCCCGGATCTCCTCTTCCATCATACCTACATGTCGGCATCTTGATCTTCTCCATCGGCTGATCCAAGATGCTTTGCGCAAACGGTGACGCTCTTAATTGTACCACAGTTCGCGGTACCTGCCCTTCAACCTGGGAACTTCTCTGCTGATAGGTTCTTGTGATAACAGTTCGGCTTGATGACCCCCCCTCTAGCTGCGTGACGCGGTGTGGTATGCGTCCTTACCGGTGTTTCTTCTCGGTGGTGCCTTGGTGAGCTTGTTACTCGATTGGACTGTTCACCTTGATTAGCTAGCGACACCCCCCTTCTGCCTGAGCCATTTCGGCATCTTTTCTCTTTTTGCTCATTGCAGTCATTACCCTTGCTGCTACCTGCAATTCTTTTGGCGTAAACTCCGCCATGGGATCTACTATTGTTCCCCTTTGCCTTTCTGGGGTTAACGGCATGTGAAACTGATTTTCCTCCAATGTATGTGTTTCCTCTTCTATCTCAATTTCTGGCTGCGTTGTGATTGGTCGATTTACTGTTTTACTTGTTATCGGTGTCATATTGTTTCCGGCCATAATTATTGTTTTTTTATGTGTGTGATTCTTAGGCGATAAAAGTAATCACTGGTCCCCTCCTTCTAGCGCCAAATTGTTTCTGTCTGGATCCGATAACCCGAGAACCCGAATCCGAGATCTTGATACTCCTATCGGCAGCCCGAGAACCTACACAACTGAACAGAAGTTAGCTAACCGCGAGGTGCTCCGGGGATAACCACTCCGATGATAAAGTTAGAATGTGTTCTTATAATAAAATATAAACAAATAAATAAAACTAAATAACTATATATATCTTCTTATAATAAAATTAGAAAATGAAATTTAATTATTTTATTTACTCTTCCACAACTCTAATTCGACTAATCATACTTAAATTTTTGATTGAGGTCAATCAATCTTGTGATTAACAAACGACTCAACAAAAGTAAATAAAAACAATAAAATAACGATATTTATTCGTTAGAACCACATCAATAAATGTATAGCTTCAACTATTTATTAAATCCACTTATCATTGTAACCTTATAGCTTCTAGATGTGATTTTCCATTGAGCTTATTGGCAAAGAACTCCTTGTAGTATTGTGTCAATGGTTGCGTTCGGAAAAGTGGAGGATTAAGGGGACTAGGGGTGAAAGTTCGGTTTTCGGTTTGGTTTATTGCCCAAACCGAAACCGAACAACTTTATTTCGGTTTTTGAAATTTTCAAACCGCACCTCACCACTTTAATCTTGAAACCGAACCAAACCAAACCACCTAAATTTCGGTTTTCTTAAAAAAACCAAACCGCACCGAATTTTCCTATCAAGCATCATAAACATCAAATTTTGCAAAAAAACCGAACCAAACCACACCAATCAAAACCGAACCAAATGTAACCAAACCAATCCATATAAACATAATTAAACAAGTTTTAATATCAAAGTTACAAAACTAAACCAAACCAATCCATACAAACATAATTAAACAAGTTATAACATAATTTAACAACTAAAACATATTTTAACATAGTAGTAGCATAATGGCAGAATAGCACGTTAGCGCCAGCAGCACACAGTAGCGTCGGAGCATGAACACAGCAGCAGCAGCAGCATTTAGAAGAAGAAGTAGCAGCAGTAAGGAGAAGAAGCAGCAGCAGTAAGGAGCAAAGCAAATAGGCGAAATTGCAATTGAGCTTAGCAAATAGACGATATTGCAATTGGATAGCAAGAAATTAAAAGATTAATAGCATAAATTTGGATGGTGGAAAGTGGACGATAGTTGATGGTCGGTGGACGCTCGCCGGTGGAATGGTGAGCTGAGTGGAGTTATTGGAGTATGAGATATTGAGAGGTTGAGATTGAGAGTCAGAGAGAGTGAGAGATGAGAGGCTGAGATTGAGATTAGGGTTTTTTTTTTTACTTTATGTACTATATAGAGTTGGCTAGGTCTTTTTGGGGTTGGGCCGAAATTTCGGTTCGGTTTCGGTTTTTCGGTTTTTCAATTTTTGAAACCTAAACCGAACCACTTAATTTCGGTTTCTTGACTTTGCAAACCGCACCGAACCACTTAAGGAAAAAAACCGAACCATATTTCTAATTCGGTTTGATTTTCGGTTCGGTTTGGTTTTAAACCAAATTTGTTTCACCCCTAAAGGGGACCAACTATACTCTTAGCTGGTCCTATTTCAGAATCAATGTTAGGGCTATTAAATGTGCCAACTGATATCCTCTCTTTCGTTGAGTTCACTGTTGCTTTGTGCTCAATACTTCGATATATTCCATTGCTAAAAATCTATCAATCACCAAGATAAACTTGAGGATGCATTAAGCCAATAAAAAATATGAATAGAAATATTTAAGCAAGAAATAAATTCCACTGAAAATGAAGGGTGATTAATCTATATTTGATTTCATGACCTTTTTATCACGTTGGTTTTGATACTATGTAAAAAAAATCATATCAACCAAAATATTTAAACCTATAATTAAAGCTTAGCAATATGTTTTGTAGACTATACAAAAGTACATGAATACAAACTTTTACAAAAAAACAATTACAGTATATTACTAGATTAAACTCGTGCACTACATGATTTAAATAATTTTATTATTATGCATATGAAATAATTTTGTTATCATACATACAAAATTAATTTTATCATTTCTGTAAAAATTAGTGGCAGTTATTTTTTAGGAAAATTTGCAAATTGCAGCCATTTTAAATTTTTTTTGCAAATTGCAGCCCAAAAGTTCGTATAAATTGTAAATTGCAGTCCGATTAAATTTTTTCATCGGTTTACATGTTGAAAAATCTACGATTAAGGTTTTAGAGGTCATTTTATTCCTAGAGGATCCGAATTGAGCTCGAAATTAGCAAAAAAATAACTTAAGTGTCTCTTATTTACAGTTTCCCACAAATCAATACACTTAAGTTGCGCAAAACGAGATACTTGCGTTATTTTTTTTTTTATAATTCCGAGCTCAATTCGGACCCCTAAGGGCTAAATTGGCCCCTAAAAGCTTAATCGAAGATTTTCCAACTTGTAAACCGATGAAAAAGTTGAATCGGGCTGTAATTTACAATTTATATGAACTTTTGGGCTGTAATTTGCAATTTTTTTAAAATGGCTGCAATTTGGAAAATATGAACTTTAAATGGCTCTAATTTGCAAATTTTCCTCTTTTTTAATAAAAAATGTATAGTGTACACTAAAATAATAATTGTTAAAAAAAATTTAAAATAATAAAGATGTTATGAAATATTATATGGATATCCATTATCCTCCTTTATCATTTCGGAATGTTCTAGAAGTAGGGTTTATTGTTATCTAAGCAAACCCTAATTATATATATATATATATATATATAGACTGATCTATTATCTCTCTAATTTCTCCTCTTTCTCTTTATATTTATAACACGTTATCAGCACCAATGCTCTACCCGATTGAATCAAGTTATTATAGTCTAAAATCAGGTACGTCTAATAAAATTATTATATATACAATTACCACAAATTTTTGTAATAGTTGTGGCCTAAATATTATGTTGTATCTCGTATTCTGCTTTGCACATAATCCAATCCTTCATATGATTCTGCAACTGAACTGTTCAATAATTCTTTTTTTCTTAGTTACCACCAAACAAGTATGTGCGGCTATCTTTTATAATTTATTTAATAATATCTATTATGCTTATAGATTTAATTTAGCACCAGGATTGAAAGCTATTAAGATGATATTTGCATTGTCATGTACAGGTTATTGTAAAGTCTTTTTGTATTGTTTGAATAATAGTAATTGACTTTTATCTTGTTTGTTGACACTTATTTTATAATAAATTTTGGATTGTATGCGACCACATTGACTTGTAAAATATACAATTCGATAGCTTGTTGACTTGTGTGGAGTGCTAATTATATTATTCATCATTTGATTATTGTAGTATCATTTTAATTGATGTATGAATATGAATTTGCTTAGGATTATATACTCACTGCCTAAATTTCTATTAGATCTTGTTTATACATGATAAAAAAATTATGAACTATGGTTATGTACCTTATCGCAACCAATTAAATTAGATCTCAATACTTATTAAAGAACTGCATGTACTATATTATGTTATTTTGGTCTGATATAAAGTAGTATGAATATTCTAGATGTTAATTATTACCAATAATTTGCATTAGATTCTATGAGTACTATTGCGGAATATAATATTGTTTCATACTGTAATCTGATATTGTTTATCATGAAACAATCCTTGATTTGTTCTGTAATTATTTATCATATGAAGAGTTTTGCCGATTAGCTAAATATCAGTTTTAGCCACTTCAATAATTATCTTTGCATGATAAACCATACATGTTTATCTTTAGCATTTAACATTTTGATATTGTATAACAATTTTAATGATTATCTAACATACTATGCGTGCTTGATAGCATGTTCATGATTATATTTTCACATTAAATGATTAATACTAGTATTATAATTTTTATTTCTAGTTAAATAGTACCCTATTTGTTTAATTTGAAAGCCTGTGTCGATGATGTAATTCAATAATTTGTGTTTCCGTTACCACCAAAAATTTGAACCGGAATGAAGATCCTACTAATACTTCTTTGGTGACTTTTTAAGATTTGATGCAATATCTAGTTAAATTTCAGCGTGCTACTTCTTACCAATTTTAAATTGTCATACTATGTTAATTAGATTGTTAGTATTGAAGCAGGGTAAGGCAAATAACCTAGATTACGTTTGGTCTAATAATTATATTCTCCGTATTAATCAGTATTAACTATTAACTAATATGGATATTTTGGTTGAAATTGCATGATCTAATAACTAATATCATATAAAGTTTTAAAAGAGTTTGTTGATGTATCTTTCTTTTGGTTGGATATTTTTAATAGCAAACTCTGTGTGAGATCAACTTGGCGAATGATTACTAACTAGACTCACTAGCTCATTTCCAGAAGTGAATGAGAAATTGCATGATTGAAAGAATACTAAACATGTTTGCATGAC